AGCATATTGTGTATTGAATCAACGAGCCTATTCTTGTGATGCAGTTTAGTGCTAAAGGTCACATCAAGGAAAGTAATTTGAATGTATCATATTTCAGTTTTGTTATGAGTGTAGTCCCTCCAGTTATACAATACATCAATAGTGTATTGTATTCACCTATTAATGGATATTATTCAAATTACTATGTTCACATTACTACTACTAATACTTCATCTGTGCTACTTGATGGTGTACCATATAAATGGACTTGGTATCCTATTACTGGTTATAATGGCTACACTGTAGGATATGGTACTATTCATGAATTTTCAGATGTTAATCCTCATGTGTTCCAACACACTAATTCATCTGCAGGCCTTAGTGCTACTGCTTATGGAAGCATCAACTATGATTGGTATTATTTTAATCCTGATGTGTATGGTCTTTCATTAGGAATGAAATTAAATGCTATAGGAACTAATGGTTACTGCCATACTTAAGTTTTTAAATTATAAATATTATTTTTAGAAATTCTCCATTTGAGTCCATGGTATGGTCATATTTTTGGTGGCGCACCAGTCATACTAACAGTATCTGAATACATTAAAAAAGGACTAACCATCACATGTCATTTCCATAATATTGAAGTGAGAGGCTTCCTTCTTAGTCCTTATCAAGTTTTATGCATCACTCCTCAATTGAATATAACTGGAAGAGTTCCTGTACAGTTAAAGCATCAGTTTAAACCCAATGGATATAATTCTTCATTTTACCTCCGTAAGTAAAGTAGATCTACTTTTGCTACATATTGTTACCTCTATTCTGTAGAGTCTATTGAACATGGATATAAGGTGAATATCATATCTAATGATATATTAATACAGGCACAAGATGCTATAACATTAACATGGATTCCACCTAGCCTCTCTGAGAGCACAGGAACTGTAAATACAACAACTCTTCAGATCAATATTATACTATACATCTTTACTGAGGGCTTTATTAATCAAGTTAATGAACTAGCCAGCAATATAAGCAATAATGGCTCTTACACTGTTAGTATACCAACTGTATCACATCCATCAGGTCAAACTGTTTATCCTGCTATCATTTCTATTGAAGCTATAGGAAATGATTATGATAATGCTCAAGGCACAGTAAAGCAATGGACTGATATGATATGGATTACAAATGACAATGAATTTTATGATGAGTGCAAAACATGGTCAGCTAATGAACATCCTACAGTTGGTGAGGCATTACTGTCAGTTGTACGTTCAGAGGTTCCTTGTCCATCAACTATTGGTCAAGCAAGAACTATTAATAGTGGACTAATACAAAACACTAACACTAGACTAGTGAGGTTTCTTCATCCTAATGCTGACAAATGTTACCATCAACAAACAACAACCAGGTAAAAACATCATTCATACCATGAAAGTGTATTTCCTCCTATATATAAGTTGTTAGTTCACCATTATGAATACATACAATGAACTTTGCTATTAATTTCTAGGACCCAAGGATCAAGTAATGAATGTTGTTATGATACAAGTGGTCAGTTAATTATTGGTCCCACAAGTGGTGGCTCTGTTGACAAAGCTTCTCCTATTGGCAGTGATTCATCAAATTATCTGAGCAATTTGTTAAATCATCATTCGGAGGATATTCTGCCTTATATTTATTGTTGTAAAGGACCAGCAACAGCTTGTGAGAAGTATTATACCAGACGGCCATCAGACAATGGTACTGCATATGTCCCTCCAATACCAGGTATGCTAACAATAATACAATTAATAACTATTGAAGTATATATGCATAATACA